TTGCACGGTTCGAATTAGCGCGAGCCGCCGGGGGTGCGCGCGGCTCTAACAAGTGAATGGCACGCGCACAATCCGCGTGCACACAATGCTGTCATTCAGGTTAAAAAGACATTAAAAGACATGAGTTTATGAAAGAGCGGGGGCGGCCGCTCACGTGCTTCAAATGCCCCAAAACCAACACGTCTGAAAAGACGATTGTCTTTTATTGTTTTTTATTGACTCTGTGCAAACAACAAGTGCGCGCGCACCCTCCACACTCTGCTGTAGCGCGAGGACCCGCTGCATTTATCAAATCCCAAACTGTTTCTACTGAAACTTTTGAAACGAAATAAAACATCGATTCTGAAAATGATGAATGAATCTGGTCCCTCCGCTCTGTGCCCGCGTGCCTCAGGTGTTCGGGTCATGTGACACATTTGGGCTTTTACGCACACTGACGTTTCCTCTGCGCTCATACCTCGTGAGCCGCTGCAGAACTCTGTGTCATTCTGTTATTGTTGTTTCTCTGTTATTGTTGTTTCATTTTATTGTGCGCGCGGGTCGCGTCTGGAGCATGCAACTGTCGCACGCCCTCGCGCGCTCTGTGAATGGTGGAGCGGTGGCCCTCGTGCACCTGGTCGGTGGTACCGGGTTGCTCCGCTTTGTGCGTTTCTTTCACGGTCTCCTCATTATTTCTAAAGCGACATGTTGCACAGACTGCGGCAGGACGCATGTGCCGTTCTTCCCACGGCCGCGACGCACCAGCTCCGCGCGCTCCCGCCGCGGGGCCGCGCGCTGTTCACAGAAGTGCCCCCTTTGAGCGCACACAAAGGTCCGCTCCGAGGGACACCACTGCGCCATTATGGACACATGCGCCATTATGGACCGACCTGCTGCAAGTGGCGCAGCGCGCACTCCGCTGGTGCACCTATACAGCCATCCATTACGCACAAAGACCTGCCCATTACCGCGCCGCGGCCCGTGCGTAAAGACGCACTTGAAGAGGAAACGAGGCGACTCAATATTTACTCTCCACTCAGACAGAGACAGAAGCACTTTTATTATTATTCAGTGAACGAAAGAACCAATGAAGCTCCACAGGGAAACATGACAGAATCTGTACATATCTGTTTGTGTTATAAAAGACTCTGGGCTGATCCTGTTTCCTCACGAGCCAAAAGAAACTCTGTTTAAGATAAAACATGGCGCGTGTTATTTACACTGTAACAGAATCAAAGATAAACAGGAACAAAATGAGTTTTGCGCAACTTTTAAGGTTCAAACATCACGTTTACGTCACGTTTACGCTCCCCCCGCGCGCCCCGCTCACACTCGGGTGCAGCGGACAGTGTAAACATGTGTGTGTTTAATTTGGAGATAAACAGGTTTAGAGGAGTCTGTTTATGAGTTTATTTACATGTTAATTTGTCTGAATTAGTCTGGAGCTCGTGAGGACGCGGGGGCGTGGCCTCGCGGCACAGACTCGCGCTAATCTCTCGAGCGTCTGTCGGACCGCGCTCTGATTGGTCCGCTCGGAGTGCTGCGCTCTGATTGGTTGGCGCTGTGGCCACTCGGCACGCGCCTCTGTCAGTATTTAAGGGCCTCGTGCGCCTCGGGGACACAGAGCAGAGATGGAGCTCGAGCCCTTCTCGGGACTGACCCCGCCGTACTTTGATGAAGAGGACTTTTTCACGGACCAGTCCTCGCGAGACCTGGACCCGGACGACTTTCTGGACGAAGACGTGGACTTTTTAACCTTCACAGATTATTACAAAGAGAGCGGCAGAGACTTTTACAAAGAGAGCGGCAGAGACTTTTACAAAGAGAGCGGCAGAGAGCGGCACGACGCGGACTATGAGCTGGGAAACTTGTCCTTCTCCTCTTCCTCCTCTTCGCTCTCGTTCTGCGCGGACTCTGCTCCGGAGCTGTCTCCTCTCGGGGCCCACACCGCGCTCCTCAAGCGGCGGAGGCGCCTTAGGTCCGAGCGCGAGCTGCTGCAGCTGCGTCAGGCCGCGAACGTGCGCGAGCGGCGGCGCATGCAGTCCATCAATGACGCGTTCGAGGGTCTGCGCTCGCACATCCCCACGCTCCCGTACGAGAAGAGACTGTCCAAAGTGGACACGCTGCGTCTCGCCATCGGATACATAAACTTCCTCGCGGAGCTGGTCCAGTCTGACGTCCCGCTCCGGAACCAGGGCTCTGACGCGCCTGCGCAGCCCAAGAAGGTCATCATCTGCCACAGAGGCACCCGTAAGTGTCCTCCTGTCCTCACGCGTTCAGATAAACATGACTGTACAACATTATAACTCTGTCTCTCTCCTCAGGCTCCCCGTCCCCCAGTGACCCGGACTTCGGGCTGCCGCCGCTCGCGGGACACTCTCTGTCCTGGTCCGACCAGAAACAGCTCCGGGACCAAAGCGTGATCCGGACCGCGAAGGTCTGGACCCCCGAAGACCCGCGCAAACTGCACCAAGGGCTCGCGGAGCTGACGCACGAGCTGCCCCTGGGCCTCATGGTTTAATCCGGAGCCAGAACTGAACCAGAACTGAACCAGGACTGAACCAGGACTGAACCAGAACTAAACCAGAACTGAACCAGAACTGAACCTGTTCCAGGACTGACGCACGTGTGTCCTGTGTCCTCGCGCGCCTGTACAGTGTAATATTTCCACTGTGTTGTACATATTTATAATTTATAAAAGAGTATTTTAATATTTTTGTAAAGAAGCATCGATAATCTATTTAATGTGTTTTAAATGTGTTTTAAATGTAATATATTTAATTTAATTCTGTGAATCAGAGCCATATTTTTCTACTCGCTTTATTCAAACCCGCTCAGCATTTTTAAATGTGTTTACGAGCTCAATGTGACAAAGTCTTTGTCTTTTTGTACTTTTATTCAAAAGAACATTTCTGAATAATTTAAATAAAAAACAAACACGTGACAAATCTTTGGTGTTTTGTTTTTATGGCATTTGTGGCGCTTGGGTCAAGGAGAAAATAATAAATAATAAATAATAGATCATATTGAGTCTGGTCCCTTAATGAGATTTAGTTTTTATTTATTCATATTTTATGATCTGCAGTGACTCAGTGACGCGGTCCTGATGTCTCTTCTCTTTAGCCCCGTGAATTCTGTTTTTATTTGAGCTGTTTTGGAGAGTTCTGTCCGTGACCCGCGGCTCTGGGTTTCGGTTTGTGGTTTTTACTTAAAAATCCCTCGTGGACATCTCCATATTTACGCACCATGTTTTACCTGTGATGTTTTTGTGCACGTGTGGCTCAGATCGCTCCGGGACACGCGCGCCTTCATGGTGTGGCCGGTTTTTGGTTTTACGCACGGACGCGGCGCAGGTGCCAAAGCGCAATGATCTGGAAACTGTTGGATTTTACGCACTGATCTCTGCGCCAGAACGAGACAACCGGTGGATTTTGGTTTGGAGGCGTTTAGTGCGCGTTTTTTAGACATTACTGGACACAGCAACATGTTTTTACGCAAATTTTAAACTGAGAAAAGCAAAATATTTCAGGTCTATTTATTTAAAAAACATAACCCAGAAGTTCAAAGTTGAGTAGAAATGTGTGCTGCTCGTCGGACTGACAGTGTGTAATTCATACAGAACAATAAAAGCGCGCGCTGTGAGCGGAGAAAGCGGAGGAGACGTGGAATGCGCGCGCGTAAACGCACCGTGAACGCCGCGCTCTCACAGCCGTCTCCGCGTAAACGGGCCCTCGGGACTCTGGTGGAGGTAATGGCCCGGAAAGGTTTGGCACAGCTCCCTCCTCCTCCCTCCTCTTCCTCCTCCTCCGCGGGGCTTTGATCACAGAGAGGCTTTAAACTCCTCTGGACTTTAACGCGCCGACACTGACACTTTTACGCAGAGAAAGGACGAAGGAAAACGGATTTTTTTTTCTTTTCTTATTTTTGTTGTTTTGGTCCCGTTTATCAGGAATGAAGCAGCACGAGACTGAAGCACAAAACTGGAGCTTTCATTTTTGATTTCATGGTAAGGCCAGAGCAGACAAACAACACAAAATACAGCTCATATGTTATTTGTTTTACGGTTTAATTTTCTGATTTTCTGTTGCTTAAATCGAAATTTTGTTAAACTTGGTCGTTTTTTACTCACTAAATGTTAAAATATAAAAACGAAAACACCAAAACAACGTCGAAATGTGTTTTTTTAAAGCAATAAATATTGTGTTTATCCATTTAATTAAGTTCATAACAATATTTTCGTATAGATTTGGTTATATAAAACATCACTGTAAACATTTTATTGTTGGATTTTCGTGGTTTTGAGATTCTAAATGAGGCAAGAGACCTTTTTTCTGTTTGTAATTGCAGTTTATTTCACAAATTTAATCATTTTTATTAATGAGTAGAGCCAAAAACTCGCTGTATTTCAACAAAAAATTGCATTTGAACGATTTTAATTTTAGTTTTTCTTATGTGTTTTAAATATTAAGCTATAAAATGTTGTGATGTGTGAAAAACAGGAACAAAAACACAACTTTGAACATGTTTATTGTTGCTTACAGGCTGCTGAGTGATCAAAAGATGGTTATATTTCGTGCGTAAAAGTGAAAAGTGTGCGTCAAAAGCGTGTTCGGACTCTGGACAGTTTTGGCTCCGGACAGTTTGGGGGAGGAGGGGCCTCGGAGCTAAATCTCCCCGTATCTCCGGAGGGGCACCTGGTTGAAAGTCCCCGGGAGCAGCTGCCCAAAGAATCCAGGCGCGTCTCGGACTCTTTGGGTACAGTCTAATGTCCCCCGCGCGCCTTTGTCCCCGGACACACAAGGCCACCGCGCACAATGACGATCCGCGCGCAATGAGGGACGCGTTTGGAACAATGTGGCGCGGACGCACGGACACGGAGACGGACACGGACACGCCTCTCCGGGAAAACGTGCCAAAAAAGTGAAGAAACAAAACCAAGGACACTTAAAGACGCTCCCGGGAAAAAGAGACAAAGTCAAGTTTATTTCTTTTGGCTCCGTGAGGTTGAGGCTCTGGCATCGCGTTTTCTGTTCATTTTACGACCGTGTGTCTCTAAACCAAAGACTAAACCAACCTGCAGCTTTTTCAACTCATTCCAAGGGATTTATGATTTATATTTGTGCCTGTTGCAAAGTAAATGTGTAGTTTTTTTGCCTAAATTTGTGCAAACATAATGGATAATGTTTTTTTGTTGTTGTTGTTGTTGTTTTTTTTACTTCCAAGAGCTTCATTCAGGTCTCTCCAAATAAAAGTTCTTTGTCAACACACTGATCCGTAAAAAAGAAACTTTATTTGGACATAAATCAGTTTGTTTTATACACAGCAAAAACTGCAGGGTTAAAATTTCAGAGTAAAATATTTCAGACCTGGTTTAGTTCTAGTTTAGTCCTAATTTATTCCTGATTTAGTCCTGGTTCAGTCCTGCTTTAGTCCTGGTTTAGTCCTGGTTTAGTCCTGGTTCAATCCTTGTTCAATCTTGGGTTGTTTTTAACACAAAACCTCAACTCGAACCCCCATTTCACTTTGAAATTGTTAAAATAACACTTCATTTTCCAGAGTTGACATGGTTAAAGTGAATTCAACTTCCCTTACATTGCAAAAAACTAAATCTAGTCAAGTTAAAATGACTTGAATTAACAAAGTTTGATCATGATTTGAGTAAAAGTAAAATGATCTGTCAACGGAGCAAGACTTTTTGTACTTGAAATATGAAAATACATCTTACTGCACTTAAAATAAGAAACACAACAACTTTTTGCTCTTAAAATAAGAAACAAAATCCAATGTTGCTTAAGATAATTTTACTTTTCAAGTTGAATCGATGCAAATAAAGTAAAAAGTTCTTCATTTAAGTGTGAAGAATCCCTCAGTCGTCCAGGTAGAATCCATCGCCTTAATTTAAGTCATTTTAACTGACCTAGATATTGATTTTTGCAGTGCAAGGTTCATTTTGGTCTCTCCAGATAAAAATTCTTTCTCCAACACACTGATCCATCAAGAAGAACCTTTATTTGGACATAAGTCACTTTGTTTTATACAAAGCAAAAACTGCAGGGTTAAAATATTTCAGACCTGGTTTTGTACTGGTTTAGTCCTGTTTTAGTCTTGGTTTAGTCCTGGTTTAGTCTTGTTTAGTCCTGGTTTAGTCCTGGTTTAGTCTTGGTTTAGTCCTGTTTTAGTCCTGGTTTAGTCCTGTTTTAGTCCTGGTTTAGTCCTAGTTTAGTCCTGGTTTAGTCCTGTTTTTGTTTAGTCTGGTTTAGTCCTGGTTTGTCCTGGTTTAGTCCTGTTTTGTACTGGTTTAGTCCTGGTTTAGTCCTGGTTCAGTCCTGGGTTGTTTTTAACTCAAAACCTCAACTCAAACCCCCATTTCACTTTCAATTTGTTAAAATATCACTTCATTTTCCAGAGTTGACATGATTGAAGTGAATTTAACTTCACTTACACTTCAAAAAACAAAATCTAGTCAAGTTCAGACGACTTGAATTAAAAAAGTTTGACCATGATTTGAGTAAATTTATCTTGACAAGTCAAATGATCTGCCAATTGGAAAAACAACAACTTTTTGCACTTAAAATAAGAAACAAAACTGAATGTTGCTTGACTTAAGCAAAACACATTTATTCCATTAGTAGATCATTTGACTTGTCACGTTGAATCGACTCAAATAAAGTCAAATGTTTTTAATTTAAGTCATTTTAACTGACCTAGATGTTGATTTTTGCAGTGCAAGATTCACTTCAGTCTTTCCAAATAAAAGTTCTTTCTCCAACACACTGATCCGTCAAAAACAACTCTGTTTGTTTTACAAGTGTCTAACTGTTCCTCATCTAAAACTCTTCTTTTGACTTGAAATCGCTCACATAAGTTCCTCTTTGGCGTTTCTGTTTTGTAAAGAAGCTCACGAGATGAAAAAGGTTGGAGACTCCAAACCAACACAGCAAAAATGAGTTAAAATTTCAGAGTTCGATATTTCAGTGTTTTTTGTTTTTTTTTTCAACACAAAAAGTGTTATTGTAAATATTTAAAAGTTAAATAGATGTTGGAGTTGGGGTTATTTTCCAGAGTTGACATGATTGAAGTGAATTCAACTTCCCTTACACTGCAAAAAACAAAATCTAGTCAAGTTAAGACGATGAATTAAGAAAGTTTGATTATGATTTGAGTCAGTTTCACTTGACGAGTAAAATGATCTGTCAGTGGAACAAGACTTTTTGTACTTAAACTATGAAAATACATCTTACTACACTTGAAATAAGAAAAACAACAACTTTTTGCACTGAAAATGAGAAACAAAATCAAATGTTGCTTAAAATAATAAAACCACACTTATTCCATTGGTAGATCATGTGACTTGTCACGTTGAAGTGACTCAAATAAAGTCAAATGTTCTTAATTTAAGTCATTTTAACTGACCTTAAATATTGATTTTTGCAGTGCAAGGTTCATTTCGGTCTCTCCAAATAAATTTTCTTTCTCCAACACACTGATCCGTCAAGAAGATCCATTATTTGGACATAAGTC